CAATGACTCTGTGTTGGGCCAGCCCAGGGATGAGTTCCTGCTGGTCTGTCCTGGCACACAGCTAAATTCAGGCCAGGGCCTGCTTCAGATATTCTTGCTCTCTTGCCTGGCCTGACCAGAAGAGGGTCAGAGTTGGGACAGCCAGAGCCCTGCTGAGCTGCAGTGGAAGTACGCTCTCAGCCCAGCTTGCAGTGTGCATCTGGGTCAAACTTGTGGCACGCACCATTCACCTGGAATGCGTTTCCATGGAGGTACCTGCCAGGGACAGACTTGCTCCTGTCTCCTGAAGAGTGTGGTTAGCCCAGCTCGTTAAACTCTCTTCCTGTCTTTCTGTCCCTCAGCTGTGGCATGGCCCCTCCTGCTCTGCTGTCCCCATTCAGCTAAGCCATGTGCCCATCTCCTCATTACAGGCACTCCAGGGAGAGGTGGGATTAAAGGATTATGGTAATATTCTTCAGGAACACTCAAGAAGATTAAGATGGCTTTAATAAACTGATAAGTGAGGGGCATAGCTATGTTTCTGAAACCCTAATTTAGGTTCCAGGTTAACCTTTTCCCCCCTGCTCTGGAGACTACTCCCCTGTCACCATGGTGAGGTAACAGGAAATTTCTTACTTCAGCAGTGCTCCATGGCCATGCCTGTGCCTTCCCCTTTGCCTTTCCTTATAACCTAGCGGAGCAGAAGCAGAAAGACACCTTCCTTCCTTCTCCTCCCCTTGTATCCTCCCCAGGCAAGGAGGCATTAAAGCGTCTTCTTTTCAGACACCATCTCGCCCGTGGCCTGTGAGGTGCTGTGGAGGCACTGTAGTCTCTGGATCATTCCCCCCCTTTTACCTGCCTGCCCTGGTAGCTGGGGCTCTTCTAGTTTTCTCTATGTGAGCCCCGCTGCTTAGTCTGGCTTCAAAATTTCATATGGTTGCTGGCAATGAAGTAGCTCCTCTGTCTTTGACCTGGCCAGGTACATGCATGGAGGAGTTATCAGCAGCAAGGGCCACTGGAGCAACTAGTGGCAATCCTGCCAGCCACTTCTGCTACATCCCATGCAGTGCTTGCTCCAAAATGCTCTGGAGCGGCAGAGCCTGTGTTAGTGCCTGCCCAGTGCATTGCCAGAGGGATGCTAGGTGTTTCTGAAAAATCCATAAATACCTGCAGTAGCACTGCTGCTCCACCAAGAGGGAATCTGGGAGAAAAGTACTGAACGCTGCTCTGTTGCTTCTCGTCTACAAGTGCTTGACACTGCATTTTGGTTGGCCAAGAAGAGGTAGATGATTATGCAAGACTGTGCCAGTTTGGAAGGACCCAGCTCCTCCCGTGCCTTGGGTCTAACCCCAAGGTTACGGCTCCCTATGACCACACTTGGTTATCTCCCTTCTGCAGAAATGCTTTTGGTCGAACAAAAAGGCTGCAGAGGGGAGCAGAGTGGAGGAGCCTTGTCTGGCCTCCCCCATGCCTCTTGGATGGAACTGGAGCGGGACTGAGCTCACTTTCCACATCCACCTCTGCTGCCAGGTCTATCTGGATGTGCTGGGGGGGCTGTTTAGCTGGTTGTTTTGCAGGAGATCAGCTATTAGCTGAGGCAGGAAACCTTCAGCTGTGTTGTCTCCCCTTCTGCTTCTGGTTTCACCCATGTAACCTCTGAGTCATCTGCCACAACTTCATGCATGGCAAGGCTCTTCCAAACAGGTTTCTCTCAGGGCAGTTAGGAGATCAAGGATGCGTCATCTTTCCCAAACCCCTTTAATTGTGCCTGAAAACCCCAAAGCTTCCCCTTGCATGTTATCCAGAGAGCAGGGCAGTAGACCCTGTTATCTCCCGTGATACTGTGCAGCGTGTGTGTCCCCCCAAGGCATCGGATCACACTTTCATCCCACTTCAGCGTTGCGTTTGTACTCCTCTGTCTCAGCATTATCCCCATCTTTTTGTCTGTTGACTCTCTCCATTCCCTTTTGTTTCTTGGATATAATTGAAAGAATCAAGAGGTAGTCACAGCCTGGTGGCCTGATGGGGAAGGGAGAAGAGGGTGATTTGGGGAGTGGAGTGTGAAAGAAAGAGGGAGGGGAAAAGCTGGCTAATTTGCATCCTTTCTGACTGCCCTGTCTCTATAGCCAAGCTACAGCAGGGGGTCTTCTGGCAAGGCAGTAGCGACGTAATGAGGTGTGTCATATCTCAGCAGGAGCCAGCCTTACTCCCGCTCACTGCCCCTAATTAGAACTGTTTCAATTTTTAAGCCCCCCTCGAGGAGTGTGGAGGGGGGGCAGCACGCAGGGAGCGGGGTGTCCGCCATGGGGAGGGACCACGAACCCGCCGCCAAGGAGGCAGCTCTCATTGGGGTCTCCGTGAGGAGGTACAAAGCACTACGAGCTCACTATGGGGCCAGAGAGAGCCAGGGACAGCTATGCCATTGTGCTACGGGGCTGCAAAATGCTTTGTGCCAGGAGAGACCATCACTGTTGCAGTCCTTAAGGGATTTTTTTTTCCTCTTTTTTCCCCTAAGTTGAAATAGTGTGTTAGCAGAGGCAGCATGTTTGTGTTACAGGGGTAGGGGAACGTTACACGTATTATTGAGGCCTAATATTGGGAACTTGGATCCTGAAGCTCAGGACATCTTTCCTCCTCCTTTGTGAAGCAGATCTGGTAGCCCAGGGCAATGGGAGGCTGCTAATTTTGTGGTCCTGAGCCAGAAACCTGCAAATGCCTACTCCTCCATCCTTGTACTTGGTAGCTTTACATCCTTTTTCTGCAAGCTGGCTGTGTCCTCCAGGATTGGTGACTGGTAGCAGAGAGGTTGCTGGCATTTCATGCACACCCACACCTCCTTGCCAAGCAGGATCTTTTCAATACAGATGGGTGTTGGGTTCAGTGTAAGGACCTTTTATTTTCTTAGCGTGAAATGGAATTAACCCAGTTCAGGCAAGAAGTGTCTTTCTCTCTACATGTGGTATGGTACCAGGCGCAGCAAGGTATCTGCTTGTTACCACAGTGGCATGTCCTACCCATGCATCTTCTTCATGCCCAGAACTGCCATAGCAGTGGGATCCCTGTAAGATTGTGCCCATGCCGCAGGGACTTAGAGTACAGTAGCTTCCAAGACCTTCTGGCTTGCTCGGATGAGAGTGACTCATAAGCTTACTCTAGTCCATGGACCAAATCCTGGCCATGCAGAAGTCAATGAAAGTCTTTACGCTGGCCTTTTCAGGCACAGTATTCATAGTCTTCCTAATTCAGATGCATTAAAGCTTCCATGCAACAGCTTGTGGGTTCTCTCTAAAATACTGTCTGGCAGGAGCAAGAGGAGCCTAGTAATAACCCTGATTATTTTCTGAATGACTACAGTGGCATTAAAGCCTAATGCCATTAAAACATGCCTGCAATGACGTGGGCCATTAAAACCAAGAAGACACCCTAAGCTCAATGCCCCCAGGTTGCCTCTTGCTCTTGCTAACCCCATGAGCTGGACTTGGAGGGAGCTCATTCCTCTGAAGCACTTTACAGACCACTTGACTTGACCACCCTGTGCTCCTAAGGTGGAGCCAGCTATATCCCTCTATGTGAATCTGCTTGCAAAGCCTGTGCAGGTGAGGAGGCTTCAGAGAGGGTGAAGCAGGCCTGGTTCCTCCTGCCCCAGGCACTGCTAGCCCCACTGGGCATCACTGCCTCAGACTTGGGAGGGAGAAGAGACTATACTGCAGCCAGGAGAGAGATGGTCATGAGCTGGGGCTGATTAAAAAGGCAGGTGATATCCCCTGTGAAGTGATGGACATGGGCGGGCAAACCTGGTTTGGTGGGGTGTCAGATGAATCTTGAACTAGCTATTACTGTGCAGGAGTGAAGCCTTAAAGCTGAACATACATGATTCTGTGAAAGCATTAGCTCCATCTTCAACACAGGTTAGAAAAAAGCAAATTGTTTGGAGCTGTTAGGCTGGGAACAGGGAAAAGAGGAGATACTTTGGCCCATATGGTGTGCCTGCACACACAGCATGCAGTTCTGCAGTGATAGCAAGGATCAAGGAACAGCTCTATAGATGGTATAGCCTTGGAGATTCCTAAATAAGCTCTAAAAATGGTGAGAACCCTGGGGAAGGCAGATAGGGAAGGGGTGTTCATAGCCTCTTCCAGTATAGGAACCAAGGGTCATCCAGAGGAGCCATCAGGAGATTCAGGGCAAACCAGAGGAAGGACTTTTTTGTAATAGTTGTCAAACAGTGCAACTCCCTGTCACAGGACAGCGTGCGTGTCAAAAGCTGACATGGTTTCAAAAAGCAATTAGGCAAATTCATGGAAGAAAGCTCCATTGAGGGCTCTTGAATTCAGAGATAAAATCTCTGGCCCAGGAGGTCCTTAAGCCAGAGATGACTGCAAGCTGTGCAAATATGCCTAGAAAGTGTGCCTGTATTCTTGTCTTGTTGTTACTGTCTTCTGAAGGCATCTGCCATCTTCAACCACTGCTGAAGGCTGGGCTACAAAGACTCCTGGTCTCTGGGCAGTGGTTAAGGTCTGGCGTGCTTTTAAGTTCTCTACTAGCCTTGCAGCGGCTACCTGTTCTCACCCAGCCCTGTCTGCGTTACGGTGAGCTGGTGACGGGACAGAGGAACAACGGAGTGTGGCTTGGGCTACAGGGCTTAATGAAATTACCATCTGATTCATTTCTGTAGATCTGCCTCCTTCCGTACCTCCCATGGATGGTGGATGGGGGTAGAGGCTCTTAATATAAATTGCTTGTCTTTGTGTAGCCCTTCCTTCTTGGCTTCCTCCACTCTTACTTGAGGGATCTGGGCTGAGAGGTGGGGGAAGTCAAGGTGTCAGGAAATACAAGCAGAGAAGCCTGACTGTGATAAAGCTCGTAGCTAATAGGATTGAGTTTTAAGGGATAGAGTGGGGCTTGGGATGGAAGAGACGGGGGGTCACTAAGGAGGAAAAAGGCTCAAAGGGGAAAGCAGTGGACTCCAATCAGCATTACGCCTTACAATCTTTTTCTCCTTTCTTTTCTCTTCAGGTTCAGCACAATGAATTGGCATCCTGGGCTTTAGCCGTGTGAAGAGACCAGGACGGGTGCTGCTCTGCTTAGACCTTTCCCCCTCGCTCTTTCCCCTTGGGGAGACCGGTACTGGCTTCCCTGTCCTAGCCATCTGCCCCTTCCCCCCACTCACTGCAGAGGGGACAGGCCCGTTATGGCTGGGGACAGACTCCCACGCAAAGTGATGGATCCTAAAAAGCTGGCCAGCCTCCTGAGGAATGGAGCAGAAGGCACCCTGGTCATCGACAGCCGCTCCTTTGTGGAGTACAACTCCTGGCACGTCCTCAGCTCCGTCAACATCTGCTGTTCCAAGCTTGTCAAGAGGCGACTCCAGCAAGACAAGGTCTCCATTACAGAGCTCATCCAGCCAGCCTCCAAGATGAAGGTATGGGATTTGGCCCTTGCCTATCTTTGTGCACTGTTGACCTCCTCTTGCCCAGGAGAGGGATGTACCAGGGTGGGTCTCTGACCGTCGTAGCACAGGATGCAAGGGTGCAGAGACAGACTCACTTAAGGGCCAGTCCATGCCTGGCCAGTATGTCCTGCTTCTCAGTCCCTGCACCCTGTTACCTGGCTACTTCTCTTGGGCTCTGCCTTTACCCTTCAGAGAGATGGAACATGAGCTCATGTGTCCACAGGCCCCTGGGGCTGTCCTCAGGGACTTGTTTCTTTCCCCCACCCCATTGATGTGGCACCCCCACGCAGGAGCCCTCCACAGGCAAGTCTAACAGGTATATCAGCCTTAGGAATTGTTGTACGCTGGCAAACAACCCCACCAAAGCCTTCCTGGAGCTGTAAGCTTAATCCCTTGCTAAAAACTCTTCCCCTCCCCTCTGTCATCTCTAACTCAATTCAGGGACATGTAATCCTCCTCCCTTGTGACGCCAGAAGCTCTTATCCGGTGTCATGGCATATTATCTCTCCGAGGCTCCTCTCTCTATCTCTCCTAGTTAAATAATAGTGGTGGCTTGGAGCCATGGAACTGGACTCCAGCCCTGATCTTCCTGGCTGTTTGAAATACCGCTGGATGCCCCCACGGCAGCTCCCGCAAGGGTCCTACCCTCTGTGCAGATGCTGCCAAAGGGCTCCACTGTCCCCTGGTTAGTGACAGGTTTGGAGGGTTGTTTCCCCCTCTTGGCTCCCTGTGAACTAGCCCAGCTGGCCACCCTGCAGGCCCTTTTGTGCAAGCACGGAAGTGTGTCCATGAGCCTCCCACGAGTGCGCTCTGCAGTGCTGTGGTATGACCAGCCCTCTCCCTGCTTCCCACCTGGCAGAGCGCCCCATCTGCCATCCCCTCCAGGATTGCAGGGGTTAATGAGGATAATCCCTGCCAGTAGGATTTGTGTCGGTGAGAACTAACTGTGAGCGGGGCAAGAGTAGGGAGGGCCCGTGTGTGCTGCCAGAGAGGGTTTGCCCCCACCACTCGCCTCCGTTCAGGTGCCTGCACATCTGGGCCGAGAGGAGCAAGGGATGCCGCACGGCTCTAGGTGCTGCTTTGGGGCAGCCTGATGTTGCCGATGGTGCTCAGTGACCGCGTGCCGCTTGCAGAGGGGTGGATCCAGCTGCTGTGCCTGTGGCATTTCCAAGGGGAGAGACCCCCCCACAGCCCCTCTCTGCCAGCAGCGCCTGCTGCTGAGCCCTGGGGTCTCTTCCAGCCATGGTCTGTGGAGTTGGTGGGGAAGGGTCGAGTATCCCAGCGCCTCCCAGGCTAGCAACTCCTGGGAAGTGCTTTGGTGCAAGCCTTTCCACCTGCCGAACGCCCCAAAACCAGCACGTCCCCCCATGGCGCAGCATTGGCGCTGGGAACCCGTCAACCCCAGCAGTGTGCGGATCCCCAGGGGCTGCTGCACGGCGAGGGGTGATGTCCCCCCACCACAGCTCGCTCTCTCCTCAGGTTGCTCCTGCTTTTACCACTTCCCAGCCACCCCCCCCTTGTAATTTTATGGCAAAGTGAGGGTAATTCAGGCGATTAATCAAATGCTGGGCCCAGCTGGAGCCATCTGTGGAGTCCTCCCCCCGCCAGCCCTGCGTGCACGCCGCCGTCCGCATTGGCTGCCAGTGACATCACCCTGCCTGGATCGGGGAGGTTCGCGGCGCGGGGTGGTGGGGGGTGGGCGCGAGTTGCCTCCAATCTGCTTTAGTGATGCTCCAGGCTGGGCGATTTGAAGGGGATTGCAGAGAATGATTCCTGAACGGATTTAGCTGTTCTTAAATCCTCGGGAGAATAAAGCAGAATAATCAGTTTTTGTGAGCTAGGAATGAGCAAGAGGCGCATCCACCCTCTTCTCGGTTAGGATCACCTCTGCAGTGGACACCGTCACGTGGACCAGAAGCAAAACTAATGCAAGGGGGGGAGGAACAGGAGGACCGAGAAAGGAGAGCAGGAAGAGTTAACATCAGCTGATGCCTTCTGCAAACTGCAGCGAGCCTGCAGCTCCGCAGCCGTGCAGAGGAGCCACAGCAGGCAGGGATGGCCGCAGGGGCAGCCCAAGAGGCCGGCCAGCCCTCCCTGTGATGTGGCTCCTGCCCCCCGCACCGCCACGCTAATGGACCGCGAGCTCTGCAAGCTGGTCCCATCCCAAAGGGCCCTTGGTACACAGCTAGCTCCGCGTCTCGGCGCTGGCAGGAGCAAGGTGCGGGAATAGCTCCCTCCTCCCCGCTCGTGGGTCATTACATAATGGTCCAGGTATTGGCTAGGGACAGAATTATAACCACGTGGCAGGGACATTGCAGGGGGAGGAGCAGAGGTATATTCATGAGCTTTAATTCTCTGCTTACTCTTTTGTTTTTTGTTTTTTTTGCAAGGCTGAAATATCTCCCAGCGCATCCCCAGCTGGGAGCGAACGTGCTCCCACAGCCTTTCCAAGCAGGCCCTTCCTTAATCTCCACTTGCACACGAGGCCTCCCGGAGCACTAACCCGGGAATTAATTAAGCTTCAGGGCACCCTTGTGAGGTTAAGCCACTTGCCCCAGGAAGCTGGGGGAGGAGGAAGGGAGGGTCACAGCCATGTCCTCATCTGGCATAAATCAGGGGTATTTGTCCTGACTCCAGCAGAGCTGCTCTTCATGCAATGATGGCTGTCACTCAGGGTTTCTGAGCCTCTTGTGCCTGCCCAAACCCAAGAGCAGTGTTTCCACAAAGAGGCATGTCTTATTGGGGTGATGTATGCTTTTTCCCCTTTTCGCTCTCCTCCCCCACAATCTCCAATTTTGGTCATTTGAGTCAAGGATGTATTTTGTGACCTGCAGAAACCAATAAGATTTGGGCTGCCACCTCAGGATTTGTGTAGCCCTGGAGGGATGTTTGCAAGCTGTTTTAGACCTCCATCAAAAATTCTTACCTTTAACCCTTTTCGTATCCTGTCTCCCTCTAAACCTCCTTAAATGCATTAAGTGGGTTGAAGGGTATTGCTGCTGAGCTCGGAGGGAGGGCAGTGTTGCAAGGCAGGGAGGGGGGGATTAACGAAAGAGGAATGTGGCCTTGGCAGATTTGTAAGTATTAGTGGAGATGTCCCTGCTTCCAGAGGGACAAAAGGGAAGGTGGTTGCTCCGCCGGGGTCTAAGAACAAAGGTTTCTGGGTCTGAGGTTGGTGAAGGGAGGTGCTCACAGCTCTGTCTGGGCTGAGCAGGTGAGGGATGTGACTGGAGAACTGGCTGAACTGGTGCAGGAGGAGAAACAACAGAAAACTGTGAGGAGAGGTGTTTCTGCCAAAGAGGAGTGAGAATGGGGGCTAGGTACCAGAAGGGAAGGACGGACATTGGCTGCCAGCCAGGCCAAGCAGCAGAAATGGAAATGGAGCAAAAAACTGGAGGAGACATCTTCAAAGTGGATTATTAGCACCTCTAATTTACCTCACAAGAGGCTACGCTTTTAGGGACAGACCTTTCAAAGGGCTCAGCTCCCTCCGGAAGAGCAGCAGAGCATTGGAGAAACCTCCCCCATAACCGCATCAGTGGCGGTGGGCAGTCGCAGAGGCAGATGTCCCGCCTGGGTGTGATGGACCGCAAACCCCAGGGTAGACAGACGACTGCTCCTTGGTTACACGGGGAAAAAAGTGTTACTTGAGGGGGGCTGTTAGGTATTTCTGGCGGGACCACAGCTCTGAGACCCGAGGGATGCCTTGGAGGAGTTTTGAGGCTGAATGAGGTTGATGCTCTACCATGGTGTGCATCCTTGTCCCCTGGTCCTGGGAGCTGCTGTGCCCCACGGGGACAGGCTGAGGCTTGGGAACGTGGGAGTGGGAGGACAGAGCTGTGCCGCTGTCCTTTGGGCAAGAAGGAGACTCGGGAGCTGAAAGTAAACCAGGAAATGCGCTACCTTGGGCAATACGAAGAAGGGGAACCTCAGCCTTTGTAGGCTCCCTGCCTCTCCTGTTAGCGCTGCACCTTTGCTGAACGATAAAATCAGGTCTGGGCCCATGTGCGGGGACGGGAAGGCCGTGTTGCCTGTCCCTGTCCCCATCCCTGGAGGCAGCGGGTGCCCAGGGGGCCAGCAGAGGTGGAGCCAAATGCAAAGCAGGTTGAAACCTCCTCGCAGGTCTGAGCCCAGCCAGGTGGAGGGAAGGTGTAAAATCTCCCATCTGAGTTTCAGGCAGGCTGAATGTAGCTGCGTGCTCACCTAGGACCAGAGAGCGTGCCTGGGATTTTGGGGAGGTCTGCCGGGCCAGAAGGTGACACCCAGCTTTGTGCCCTCGGTGCTGCCAGCCTGTGCAGGGCAGCGAGCGGCCGCGGGCGCCGCGAGCAGATGGCAGGAAGGGTGACATCAGTGGCGCAATTGTCCAGCCCCATTATGCCTCCTGACAGGCCTGCCGCCTCCTCCCGCGTTTCCTGCCTCTGGGGCCAAGCTGGAGAGACAAAGGCGTCCAGGGAGCTGCGCTGCAGCCGTTGCAGCCGGGGCCGAGAGGGCAGGTCTGAAACCCCACCTTGGTGCGCTCCCTCCTCCTCCTTCCTTGCATTGGCATCCAAAGAGAGTTTGATCTGTGCATCCCGGCCTGGCTCTGCCCCAGGCAGGGATCGCTTTTTGCCCATCACCTTGATGGGTAGCAGGAGCAGGCACAGGTTAAAACAGAGCAAAGCTTGCAGGGACCCGGCCTGGCTCTCCTCTTGCATGGACACAAGCAAAGCGGATGGGAGTATTTGTGCCACCACGTGCTAATTTGCTTCTCCCTATGCTTGCACCCCTCTGAGCACACCGATGTTAAGGAAAGGTAGCAATTTCTATGCTGTCACCTTGGCGCGGGGAGCATTTCCACCCTCCTCCTCCGGTTAATAACTTTTCTGGACGCTCTGGTTTGGAGCAGTGCCATAGGTTAACTGCAGCTCCTGGCTTTCTTGGTGCAAGTCTTGGGAAAGGACTGTTTTGTGGGGAAGAAGAAATGGGGAAAT